TCATTTTTTTGAGCGATAGTTCGAATCGAACTAACTCCTAGCTTTAAAAAAGGAAGTCGCCATTTTTTTATAAACTGATATTTCTCCAGAGGTGCTGATTTTTAGACTTGGAATCATGTTGATTTCGGCAAGATGTCCTTTTATGTTTTTCCTCGTTTTCCCTTTCTCAAGTATCCACAGATGTTTTGTGGACCAGGAAAACGGCGTCCCTTTTCCACCAAAAAGGGGAGCCACAGGTGGTACGCAGACAATGTTTTGGTGTCTGGATGGTACTTGTGGTCTTTGGGGCCTAAAAGTCTCCGCCCTTTTGGAATCTGGGTATTTAACCGCAGCTATTTGACCAGAAAACGATATAAATTAAGGGAAAAGAGAGATTGTTTCCTCAAGTTTCTGCCTGTTTCTTAAGACCCTGTGTTTCTAAAATCATAAAATTATAATTTTGGTTTCATTTTCAGTTTGTCTCTTAGTATGTTTGAAATCATTTTGCTCAAACTACTGTAAAATCAACTCTCCAAATATAGCAAATCCTATAGTTGTTACTAATTGCACTGAAATATCAAAATCTTGATGTATATTCAAGTTGATAAATGCAGGGTCAGATATGCAATTAGGCAAAATTTTCGCAACAATGTCAAATGACATCACCAACTTTTAGAAGCCAGCTACTTCCTATTCTTTTTTTTTGCTTTTTTTGGTAGCCTGTTACTGATTTCTTGAAAGAAGAAACATGATATAATTGTTTTAGTAACTTGGGGTACATTTTCCTGAAATATTTTCGTTGCCTTCCCAATTCTTTCTGTCTATTCAAATTTTGCAGCAAGACACATTTGTTATGTTTTCTCTTTCAAACCTTTCTACTGACTCATTTGAACTGTCTTTCTTCATGGACCCTCCCTATCTCTATCTCTCTCCCTCTCCCCCAATGTTTCTTTTTCTTTGTTACAAAAAAATTTGATGTGTTCCAGAGAACTCACATTTTTCTCTGATTGTCTCGTTGGTGGATTTCCGACTCCGCCCACTTTTCTCGACACGCCTCCTGCTCTGACTTTTCTAGCGAGGAACTTTGTTCGTTTGAGAATGCAACTTTCCTAGAATCGCATTTTTTGAAAGTTGCATTTTTTGACGCTACTTTTGATAGCTCTTGTTTTTCATTTTCTTCTTTCCTTTCAGAATTGAATGACTCTCAATTGAGTTCAAGTTCCTCATAAATATCGTATTTTTTGGGTAACGATGAACACTGATGCTCAACCAGCCCACCAGCAGCTTGACGGAGCAGAAACTCCAAAAGATACAGCTCCAGCTTCTTCAGCCCCTTCAGACCAGCAGGTCATGGTGGTAAGAACTAGAATTTGAGAACCATCATCAATCCAACTATTTCAGCCAGCCGCACAACAATTGTCTCCGTTCGAGATCAAAAATAAGGAGATCCTGCGAATGGGGACCTATTTTGGAGGCACCATGGTCTTCAATCTGCCAATGCAAATGATGAATCACAATCGGCCACTCACGGCTGAGATGATACGAGAGTTGCAAGGACCACCAGTATTCCAGGTTAGTTTCAAAACTGGTTGAGAGCGGGAACTGTATATGACTAAAAATTGGGAAATCGGAATATTTCAGCCGCCGATGTATCCGCAACCTCCAATGTATTTCCAACATCCTCCAGCACTCATGGGTCTTCAGCTTCAGGAGCAGGGATGGCCATCGGTAAAAAGACAACTAGAAAAATTAAGAATAATGGGTAACTTTTTAGAACAGAAACTATCGCGGCAATTACCGCCGACGCGACGATCGCCACCGCCATCGCTGCCACAATTGCTGTCCCAATCGTCGCAACCATCGTCGGAGCTATTATCATCAGAACAACTCCCGTGGACGATTCCAACCAGGTAAGGTACCAAAAAGATTGCGTTTCGGTTATATAAGTTATCAAAGAGCAAATCTAAAACCTTATAAACACTCATTAGGAAATATGAGATGTTTGCATAGTTTAAAAATAAGTCATTTGAAAAAAATCAACAAAATTGAACTTTTTCAGCCGAACAGCAACATCGTCAGCAAAATGTTTTGGGAGACGTTCGGGAAGACCACCAGGGTGTTGTCCGTGCTGATGGCTCGATTACTAATGGCTCGGGACAAACTGATTTAACCCGCAAGCAGAAACGAGCGATTGAATTCAAGGCGAGATGCAAATCCTATAGGGAACAAAACAGAGGAGAACTGAGAATGGAATCCCAGGGAGAGTCGAACGAGGGAATGGAGGCGCAATCAAGCGCAGAGCCGTTGGGGTCACAATCGAGCTCAGGGCAGTTGGAGGAGTTGGTGGAAGCAATGGAAGACATCAGGTTAATTCACAGAGAGTCGTTGTCAATTGGCTTGTTCTTGTTTTACAGTGTCTCCAACGATCCGGGACCGTCCAATTTTTCGGAGCCATCAGCCCCGCGCTCTGCATGGAAGACAATCGGACCGTATGTTCCGTAAGTCTATAGCTCTCTAACCCTTTGAAATTGGATTTTTGCAGTCCAGAGTATATCGTCGTCAAGGCGCCAAACCAAGAGCCAATGCCGAAAGCCGCGGTCTTGCACAAACGGCAGGAATCTGGTGACAGTGGTGTGGGATCTCTGGCGTCAAGCAATGGAAACGGAAACGAATCGGGACCGAGAACTTACCGGAAGAAAATCAAGAGCAAGAATGAGTAAGTTGGGATGTAAACAAGATATATTTGAATGCTGAAAATTAAAATTAATTAATGATTTCAGACTCTTGCAATTGACCAACTTCCAATTCTAAGGACGCCTTGTCTTCCGCTTCAGAGAATCAAAACTTTCCAATTTGAAGTGATAATTTTATTCTATTTTTTTTTCTCATTTCCCCTCCACTCTATTCTCACATTAATTGTTTCTTCTCCATTCTCCAAAACCACTGATTCGAATTCAATTCTGTCTTCCTTCTTGAAACAACTTTGTTCTAAACATGCCTTGTATTTTACTATGCCACCACCCATCTAGATTACTGTATCATGCCACTACCAATCTATATTACTGTACTATGCCGCCACCCATCGAGATTACTGTACCATGTCACCATCCATATAGACTGTATTTTTTTACCAGAAACCACGTTTTTATGATCCCTGTCCAATTATTTGCTGAACTTTCTTCTGATCTTTTCTCACCATCGGTTCTCTTCAAATTCTTGGTTCAACTCGAAACCCATCAAGACCACAGATTCGCCCGATTGATTGTACGTTTTTCCAACCCGATTCAAAGTTCCAACATTTTTCCCCGTTCTCTCTTTTTCCCCATCTTGAAATCAAAATTTCTAAATTCTCCCAGAGCTGCAGTAAAACTGTTTGAAAGTAAAGCGATTTGTTGGAAAAAATTAAAAGTTTTGATCCGAAGAAAAAAATAATACATACATATAAAACGATATAACTTGAAAGTGAATGAAAAATTTGCCAGCAACACTGAGGAGAAACTAAAAGGAAAAATAAATGGAGGATATAGATCAAGACGGTCTTTCGAAGACAAGTAAGGGGGTAAATGGGTCTGTATATCACCAAATTGCATATATTTGTCACTAAATAGCATCTAGGAAATCACAAAATATTGTTTCACAAAAGAGACCATTAAATATCCATAGTTTCCATATCTCTACAGTTTTTGATTTTTTGCATCATCGTTTTCAGCATGTTGAATCTGAAAGAAAAATTTAGTTTAAAGTTTTTTCTTTTATATTTAATCGAAAACAAAAAAGTATGGTATGAAATTGAAAAAAACATATATACCGTAAACGCTCTTATTCAATGCTTCCAATATGTCAACTTCCAGCTCACTTATCTCATTTCCTGTAAGAGATTAAGAGATATCGGAAAAGCTGTCTATTGACAACATGTTCATCATAGCGTCAAAAATGATTTGTCGGTTGACAACGTTTTCGTATTTTTCACAGAAACCGAGATATAATAGCTAAAAGTTGAGAGCGTGGGGTAATTGTAGAACATGAAACTTGTTAAAAGTTAGAAAAAATAAGTTCTTAGTTTCAGATTTTGCTTGAAACCCCCTTTCAAACTTACAGGCTCTTTTTCTTCAGAATCCTTGTCATCTGGAACCTGCAAGACAAATACTGAGATGAAAAAGATGTAAGAGTAATACTTAAATCTTGTAAAACAAGAAATTAATAAAAAGTCATGGTAATTCAAAAAAATCTTATTACCAGATGACGTGAAGTTAGACCGAGTTCTCACCTGAGGTTCTTGGGGAGGAACTTGGTTTCCTTCGTTGATAGCTCCATTTGGTTGAGCTTTTGCATTTGTCTGTGTACACTCGGTTTGTTCTTTTCGAGCCTGAAATTACACCGAATATTGATCAATTTTCTAAAAAGGTGCTACCAACACATAAAATTTAAAAAATACAAACATTTCCAGAAAACCTGATTTTCTGAAAGTAACAATGGTCATACCGTTTTCAGAGCTAGATTTCCAGTAGGGTCGGCTTCCAATTTTCTTTTCACTCCTCCAATTTCATTCTCGGTTGGTTTGTTTGTATCAGAATTAGTCTTTAGGTGTTGGGTACGACTCTATAAAAATTTCAAGGTTTTGTTTCAAAAATAATTCTCTACAGAGTCAATCATCCCACTAGACAATTAATTTACTTACCCGAATGATGGACCTTGAGAGTGCCAATGCTTTTTTCATTTTGATATCATCCTTCTCCTGAAATTTAAACTAGTTTTTTTTTAATTCTCAATCTTTTTCACCACTATAATTTTCTAAAATCAAAAATATAAAATTTCTGAATTTATCCGTATCAGCAACTCTTATTCAAGGTTTTCAAACTTTCAAGCCACTTACGCCTTCCACTATTCTTTGCGCCCATTCTTCAAATAACAGTTCTCGAGTTCTAGAACACCTCGGTTGTTTCAGGTACTGGCCGTGTAAGGTACGTAGCTCTGTCTGGAAATTTATACTGTTGACGGTGTTGTTGACTGCACTCACTTCATCTTCAAGAGTAAATGTGATCTCAATCAAAACCGCCGGTGCTGGGATACTGTTTTGTTGAGGAGCATCCGGTTTTGGTTCTTGAGTCTGTAGGTAAATTGAAATTAACAGTGAAAATCGTGGAAAAAATTAAAAAGGTAGAAAAATAATAGCTAAAAAATACTCAAAAATACGATATTCATGTATTTCTAAAATTTGAGACGTACATTTTCTAAGGCTTTCACATTTGTTCCTAAAGAGCTCTCAACCACATGCGGAGGTGATGTTGAAGCGTTGATGTTGTTTTGTTGGCTAACAGTAGTTTCCGATTCTAGGGTCTGTAGAAAAAATTTGGAATAGAGAGCTTGTGACGCATAATAGTGCAGAAATGGATGTTTGGGACATTAATTATTTCGTGTACTAGAAGAAGGAGAGAAATTGATCATTCACTAAATATAAAACATATTTCTGAAATTCGAGACGTACGTTTTCGACGAGTTTTGCATCGTTCTCCGAAGAGCTCTCGACCACATCCGGCGGTGATGTTGAACCGTTGTCACCGGCTTGTTGGCATACATCCATTTTTTGTTCTTTAGTCTGTAAAAATCGAAAATTGAATATCACTATGCAACAGTTTCAACAAAAACTAAATTTTTAAAATAATTTTGCGTACGTTTTTGACGAGTTTTGCATCGTTCTCCGAAGAACTCTCAACCACATCCGGAGGTGATTTTGAAGTGACGGTATTGTTTTGTGGGCAAACATCAGATATTTTTGATTCTTGAGTCTGTAGATAAATTGTAATAAATCACTTGCGACACGTGACAATATTGAAATGGACATTGGGGACATTAATTGTTTTTTGTGCTAGGTTCTTGAGTCTGTTTTTGATTATTGAGTCTGTGAAAATGCAAACTTTAATATCTCTATGCAATACAATATTAAACATACGTTTCCGACTGCTTTCACATTGTTTCCTAAAGAGCTCCCCGCAATTCGAGAAGGTGCTGTTGAAGCGGTGCTCCCGGTTTGTTGGCTGACATCAGTTAGTTTTGTTTCAGGCTTGTTTTTCTGTAAAAATCATACTTGTGGAAAAGATGGCCGGCCCGCGGGCCGGGCCTGACCATGGGCGGGCTGAGATTTTTCTGAAAACGGGCCGGGCCGGGCCGGAAAAAAATATACATGGCCGGCCCGCGGGCCAGCCCGCTTTTTGAAATTTTTGAAATTTTAGTGCGAATCATCATTTTTCAAGATGGTTTTTCTTCTTAGTGAATGAAAATCCACACAAGAGGCCGATACTGTCGACAAACACTGTTTTGAAGTCGTAATTAGAGAAAAAGTTTCATCTTTGGCTTAATGAAGTTTGATTTTTTTGCTAAAAATTCAATTAAATTGACTTTTTCGGATGGTTTTATGCATTTGGATTGATATTTGTGCCATTATAAATATTTTGGCACATTCGAAAAAAATTTTTTTCGAAAAGTTGTCCTATGCGGGCCGAGAGGGCCGGACGGCAAGCCGGGCCGGGCCGGACCAAAAGTCTTAATGAAAGCGGGCCGGTCCGGCCCGGTCCGGCCATCCACTTGTATGGTAAAAATCCTAAATTGGAAAAAAATGGAAAATGTTTCTAAAAAATTAAGCGTACGTTTTCAACAGCTTTCACATCGTTTCCCGTAGAGCAATCAACCACGTTCGGCGGTGATTTTGAAGCGATGATATCGTGTTGTTGGGAAACATTAGTCAGTTTTGTATCAGAAGTATGTTTCTGAAAAATCCCAATTTGGATATCTCCAGGCATCATTTTCAACAAAAAAAAAACAATTTCTTAAAAATTTTGGCGTACGTTTTCGACAGGTATTGCGTCGTTCCCTGCAGAGCTCTCAACCACATTCAAAAGTAATGTTGAAGGGCTTTTTACGGTTTTTTTTCAAGGTAAGGTATTTGGGCTGGGCCGGGCATTTTTAAAAAGTTCTTCAGGCCTGGGTTTACAGTATTTTTTTCAAACCCGGACCCACTGGGGGCCGGACCGTGTTCTGAAAACTGCGGTCTTATTATCCTAATTTTTCAAGTATGCTTTAAACCCAATAACCCCGTGTGTTTGTTTTATTCACAGCTCACTTTTTTTGGAGCAGGTCCGTCGTCCACGTTTAGTCCAAGCAGTTTTTCGATTGACATTGAAATGCCTTCTTGTGGAGGACGTACAGCAGTTTTGTTAGTCTGAATTATACGTTTATTCAAACCGAACAAGTAACTTTTAAATGAACTGAAAAAAAAACTCAAAAAATGCCCATTAAATATGAATTTTAGATATCGAAAAAAGTATTACAAAGGAAAGCTTTTTCTTATTAACCTTTCTTTCTACGGGTTGTGTACTGGTACTCAAAGGTTGACTGCTGACAAGATAAGCATTATCCGGTGATACGACATCAACTAGAATTTCTTCGGTTGCTTGCTGGAATTAGTTTTTGTCGTATCAGTTCAGAAACATTTTAGACTATGTTTTCAAAGTTAATAAATATTAAAAATGCAAGAAACAAGAAAATTCGATGAAACATTTTTGGCCAAACCCACCATTTCTACAATTGGCAGCGATTCGTCAGATTTGTTGGTTTTCTTATTTCTCTTCTTTTCGGGAGCAATAGTGCTTTCATCTTCATTGTGATTTCGCTAAAAAATTTCAGAATCAGTAAAATCCGAATTCACAAAATTTTAGAACTTCTGACTTTTTACTGCAGCTAGTTTTTTTCGAATTTCATCTGGACGAAGCTGAACAAACCTTAGAATTTGCTTCTGGTACAAGAGCTGGAACAAACGGAGTTTGCGATAACTGCATTGAAATGTTCTGGAAATTACAGAACTTCTTAAAGTTACTATTCTGGTTTCATTAATCAAACCCACTTGTGCCATCATTGAGTTGTAGTTCATCATGTACTGAATGTAATAATTCTGAAATGTATTGAGCTTGTGAATGTGAATCATCTAAACTTTTCTTACTGTAAAAATACTTTTCATCTGATGCTGCACAAGATGTTGGTTTTGCTGGAAAAGACTTGGTTGAACAGCGCCGAAGTTGGTTCCTCCCTGAAACTGTAACCCGGTTTCATGACTAGATAATCTTTGCATACCATTTGAAATCCTCCGAATCCAAACATATTTGTGCTAAAATAATGATAAGGAAAATTCGGAGTTAACAGAAGAGAAAAGTGAGGATTCCAGTGGTACTGATTCATACGGAACATTCCATTCATTCCAAAATTCATTCCAGTTTGAGGGCACAATGGAAGATGTTGTTGTTGAGGTTCCTCAACTGGTTGTAACGCGTTTCCTGGCTGAAATAGGAAGGTTATGGTACAGAAATGTCCGTGAAACTAACATCAACGTGGTTCCCATTAGTTTGAGATTGCTGCTGCTCCTCCGTTGTCTTCTTTGTTGATTTTCGAGGCATTACAAACTCTGAAAATATGGTAACCAGTTGAAAAATATTAATAAAAAAGGAATTAAAACTGGAAGGCATTGACGAAAAATACGGTAGTCCCCTCGATTGGTTTGAAAAACACTGGAAATTTCTTATCAATTCATGAAAAATGAAAAGGAGAGAAAAAAGAGATGCCGGTCACTTGTCTTCTTCTCCAAATCAAAAATAATGTGTTATCGGTGAAAATTGGTGAGCGAAGAAGGGGTGGAGAACAAAAGGAGAACAAAAAAAACGGTTATCAGTTCCTTTCACAAAAGTACTGTTTCGGTTAGAAAAAAAAAACTAAACACTTTCCTAGAACAGTCGTTTCTAGACTACGTTAACGGGCAAAATATGAAAACGATAGAGAAAAAAAAAAGAAATTAGGTTCATCATCGCTGCTTTGTTAACCAACACAGACAAATCGGCACAAAAATTGGAGAAGGAGGGAAGGAAGATTAAAAAGATAGAAAGAAGAGGATCCGGAAAAGTTGTGTAAGATATTTCTTTGAACAGATAGAACAACTGACAGACTTTAATCAGAAACAAAAAGGATGACCGAGGAAAATAGTTTTTTTTTTGGATCTTCAAATTTTAAAATAAAGAACTACTGTACGGTTATAAATATGTTTTAATACCCCTCTTTTTAGATTAATTGCCCACGACTCGCTGAATTCTTCTTTTTTCAGAAACTGATAAGAAAAAATGATGCTAAAATATTTTAAGCAGGATGCTCAAAGAAACGTCTTCAAAGCTATGAAACTGTTTTGTTTTTGCTGAAAAACGAAATTGGAAAGTACAACAACAGGGGAAGCTGTGACGAACCAATGTCACTTAAGAACTTATTGTGTTTTACATACCGTAAAAACTCTATTAGATAGCCATGGCACTCTATTGTTCGGGGGTGGTCTGGGGTGGCACTGTGTTAGGGGGTGGCATTCAATTAGAGTCTGACACTTTTTGTTGGGAGCTAATTTCTACTGAAGCTCATCACAAAAGGACTCGATATTCAACATTTTCATGATTTTTCTACTTCCTTTTTTAGAGATTTTCGGAGTCTGATATTGGGGGTACGACGAATTCGAACGCTTCCAAAATCGAACAGACCTAAAATCGAACATGTGTCAAGACAGAACAAGGGCAGAATCGAACTTGTTAGTTATGTTAGTTATTTGTTGTTTAGTTATTCGTGTATCTGTGTTTTGTGTGATTGTATTGTATTCCTTTTCTCTTTTTTCTCTTTTTCCACGACGGAAGGTCGTAATCAATAAATAAATAAATAAATAACTTGGTGTTGGAGTCGAACTGTCCCAATTGGAACGCTGTTAGCCATGGGGCGCGCTTGCATTATTTTTGTTTTCTCATTTTTTCCCCGCAAAATTTT